GTGATGCAGTGAGTGCACAGAGTCATTCAATGCATATATGTACGAATGATCAGAAAAATGCATTTTGCTGATTTTCACAGTAAACCAAGACAGCATATATTAGCTTAGAAAACATTGTACAATTAATTATAAGATGATTTTGAACTTTGGCACACTGTACGGGAATTGTAGAATAAAATATATGAAAGTCTGCTATTTACAATAAAGTAATTTATCACTTACGCTCCCATGAATATTCCTCTTGTGCACAAGGAGCGCATCGTTCTTTGAGTAAAACTGGAAACAGAAACTTAATCACTGATTGTGATAACTGGTATAGGCTCTATAAAGGAAAAACACGCCGAATGATAAATTTGCTTGACAACATGCATGTACGCCAAAAGCAAGTCCAGCACTGAATTACAGAGTTTGTTGCCGCATTGACACGAGATTCCTCAAGTCTTATGGCGTGGAATTTTTAAACGAACATTTGTCACCTGGTGCGCATCTTTTCTGCGCATAATGATAATTTCCGTTTTTCTTTTTGCCTGATCTGTTCCGTTTGTTTGAAAAAAAAAATTAGTTGAAAACTAAACAATTCTAGTAAAAACTAACAATATTTGACAGTCTGAAATGAAAAATGTGGACCCTATATAATCGCATGTATAGGGGTTGGTTCGGGGGAAAAAAGTAAAATTACAAAAATCACCTATGCCCCCCACCCCCACGGTAAAATATAATACCAGGTGCCTTGTCACTGATTTCTATAATGACTGGTGGTATGGCTTACGTTGCTGTAGTAGTTGATGAAATCTCAGCGCATTGTATAGGTTGTTGTTCATCTTGTGGCGGTGGTAATATATTCGTTCTTGTCTTTGTTGACGGGCAATTCTTTGTTGTCTTTGTCGACGGGTAATTCTTTGTCTTAGTAGACCGGCTAAAAAACAAATACATATCACGTAAGTCCTATAGTACGCATATACATCAATTTTCTCAGATACAGCTTTAGATGAAAACAGTAAGGAATACAACTTAGAATATAAGAAAGATGGCAATAGGGTAAATTCAAACTCAAGACTTGGTATGATGTTCGGAAATAAAAACAACATCATTGGGACACACAAACTAAGACAAACTTTGTCAAACTGTATACGGGAATTGTAGAATAAAATGTATTAAGTCTGCTATCTGCAATCAAATAATTTATCATTTACCTTTCAAGTATCTTTGCATATGCGAATTCATTTTTTTTTTGTGTGTTTGGTGTGCCTCAGAGTTGCCCTTTATATAGCTCACAACCAATCACAGTCGTTCGTTCTCGTGCATCGGTACAGGTTAACTAACATAACCATTTAAATGTTGGATTTTAACGGGAAAAAAACATTGCTTACATGAACATATTAAAGTGTCAAAATGTACGGGAATTATAGAATAAAATGTATGAAAGTCGGCTGGCTTTTAAATATCGCTTAAACGAATCCATTTTTTTCGGTGTGTTTGGGTGTGCCTCAGAGTTGCTCTTCATATATAGCTCACGATCGTTGGTTCTCGTGCATCGGTACAGGTTAATTAACAACACAACCATTCAAATCTTGGATTTTAACGGGAAAAAAACATTGCTTACATGAATATATTAAAGTGTGCTCTTGTCCTTATTGCATTCTTCTTCTTCATGTGTTGTAAAAGTGCGGGGATAATGGGGTGGATTTATCATTTACCTTAACCATGAATGTTTTGTGTGTACCATCAAGCCGTCCTTCTTAAAGACAAGAACATTGGAACTGTGTCCGTCCGTGAACAGTCCTCTAGTGCCTTCTCAGGTTGCTGTTGCTTCTCAGGTTGCTGTCGTACATAGGCATGATTGGAAAAAAAAGGGATCCTCTCATGGCTAACTTTTTCTTCTTTTCCTCTTTCCAGCTGTTATTTCCTTTTCGTTTTGAGACATCTTAGAAAACATTGTACAATTAATTAGGGTTGCATTTAGCTTCTCCATGGATGTTTCTCTTGTGTTTCAGGACCCCATCCTTCTTTGATAAGGATTGTCCAAATACGGGACAAACATAACACGTTCACCCAACCACCCTCCCAAACCACTACCGCCACCACCACCAGCCTCAAGTGTCCCACAACATAGGGTGAACTAAGTGGAAGCTCTCATCCTGGCATAGAGCCAAATCAGATGGTGGAATAGTTTATATCCGGTCGGTTGTGTTAAGTGCCTGCAATGTGCCAGCACGTTTTCAACAAATGGCAACTTGTCGAGGCACGTGAAGTAGGTGCCGGTGGGTGGTGCCTAACAGACAAACTTTGTCAAACTGTATACAGGAATTGTAGAATAAAATATATGGAAGTCTGCTATCTGCAATCAAATAACTTACGATTTACCTTGCCCGTGAATGTTACTTTTATGGACCAAAAGTTTGTCCTTTTGGCTGACGGTCTGCCTGCATAATTGGAACATGAAAATTTCGTTGTTCCATGAATATTCCTGTGGATATGTTAAACATTGTATTGGTGTCGATCTTGCCAAACTCGACATGCAAGCACAACATACTCTTCTGCAAAAACTAAACTTATCAGAACACAACTCGCATGCAACTTTACCTTTATAATATGAACATGTTTTCTAATTGGCTTTCCGCTGTATGCACACTGGCGGCAATATAACCTGTTGTTGGACATGTTTGTCAAGGGTGTGATATCGTGTGAATCAGATAAAATGGACATAATTCACAGTAGACATTTAATTAGAAAATGACCTGTGTTAATCGTATAAAATGAATGAAACTAAAGTAAAAAATAAAATTGAAAAACATATGGTAAAAAAGGAAATAAAAAACTTCACAGTCCCAGAAAAACGTTTGGCCTTCTCTGAATCGGATCAGTGTAGTTCACCTGCATGTCGATTGTCTCCAGGAACTTGTGCTTCTCCTTCGTGTGTTGTAAAATTGCTTGGTCATGTATATTTCGCATGTGGACAAGAAGCGAGTCCTTCCTCCCGAAAGACTGTCCAGAGAGGGAACAATCATATTTTTCCCCTCCGTGGACAGCCATGCATGTGACGATTTAGATTCCCTTGCCGGCTGAAATATTTTTTGCAAATACCGCACCGGTACATTTTGTTGAAATGAAGGGTGCGCCTCAGATTTGTTCCATTATATGGCTAACAACTAACCGGAATTAGCTATTCTAGCTTCAACTTTTCAGGGTCCAATTTGGAAGGAAACGAGCACCTGCCTGTATATTTGCAGATACCCAAAAAAATAAGGGGGGGAGGTCTTACATATATGGTGGCATTGGGGGGCTTATACATGGAGAGGCTGAAAAGGAAAATATATTACACCTTCAAGACACCCTATATAATCACATGTATATATAACGTATATAATTTAAGCGATAAGCCAAGTAGACTCTCATATTTTATTCTACAATTCCCGTACAGTTTGGAACCATTTTTTAATTAATTGTACGTTTTCTAAGCTAATATATGCCGTCTTGGCATGGTTTGCTGTGAAAATCGGCAAAAGGCTTTCTTTCTTGTTCATACAAATGCCACATATACATTGTGATAGTTTAGACAGATATTTCATCAACTATAACTCTAAGTAATATTAATGATATAAAATGAATAGAACGATAAAGTAGAAATAGTTCCATGAAAGTATTGGACAAGCGTCATGTCTCTGGTTGCTCGCGGATCACCATGGTAAAAGGTGCCCCGCTGTCTCACTACTTTTGTGGTAGCCAAGACAGCTGCATGGTTGTTACAGTCCAGAAAAACAGATTTTCTTGAAATGTTGTTGTGATAAAGAGCAAATGTAATGGCATTAAAAATGTAAACAGTACAATTTACATCTACAATCAAATAATTTATGATTTACCTTCCTCGTGGATGTTTCGTTTGTGTACGAGGAGTGCATCCTTCCTGGTGAAGGACAGCCCCTAGAGGTGTTTTCAAACATATTTACAATCAGTTATCATAAAAAATTAACTCCTTTATCTTTATAAAAAGTATTTACCACAGTAATAAATAAAATTAACCTAATTCACCGTAGACATTTAATTAATGGTTAATCTAAGTAATATTGATATAAAATGAATAGAACGATAAAGTAGAAATAGTTCAATCGTAAAGAGGTGGCCTACTGAAAAGTATTGGACAAGTGTCATGTCTCTTGTTGCTTCACGGATCACCATAGTAAAAGGTGCCCCGCTGTGTCCATTTAGAGCAAATTGCTACTTGTGAAAATCAGTGCACGGACGCCACAGAACATACTGCGTGTTGCCGCCGGTGTCTTACGTGCCTTTTTAAATTGATTTTTACGGTAAAGCATCTCTGTGCTTGTAAAGGCCAGTCATGCACTGATGGAACAGACATAACGAGTCCCTCCGTGGACTGTCCTCTGGTGTCTTTTGAGATTATTCCTCAGGGTGAATACGCCGACGCACTGCCGACATTGGTGTCAATTACGCGTGTTGCAGAGAAGGATATGCGCTTCAGATTTTCTCTATCGTATAATTTATGATTTACCTTCACCATGTACATTTCTTTTTGCACGAGAAGAGCACACTCTCGGTACAGACATAACACGTCCATTTGTGGACTATATTCACGTGTCTTCTTAAATTGCTCTTGTTCGTGAACATACCTCACTCGTCATCACTGATCTCGATCACAAGTGGAGCAACATAAATTCACAAATTACCACTATATAGACTATAAAATATCGAAAAATATTCGATATATGCGTACAAATGGTCGCTGTTAAGGGTCGTTTGAAGTGGTTGTAGACCGTTCCTTACTTTAGTACCTATGTACAAAAACACACTTATTCCAAAACCCCACCTATCTTCAGACATTCCCCTTTTTCTCCCGACCATATTGTAAAATGTTAATGCATTAAGGTAATGTTGCGTAATGAAATAAAATAAAATGGAAACTCCGAAGAAATTAATATTTATTAATAAACTTACAAATGTTTGCCTTCGAGTGTTTTTTTTAATTAATACTCGTCATCTGACGAGCTTGTATCCAGTCGAGTCAAATGACTCCCGTTTCTTCCTGTTGAAGTCGATATATGGTGGGGATAATAAGTATAGGTGGTTGACGAAATCTCAGCGCATTGTACAGGTTGTTTATGTGGTGCTGGCGGTGATGGTGATAGTATATTCGTTCTTGTCCTTGTTGACTGGCAATTCTTTGTCGTTTTAGACGGGCTATTGATCGTCGTCTCTGTGGACGGGCTGCTTTTAACAAAACAACATAACACGTACTTACGTCGAAAGCTTATGTTAAACAATACAAGATTCTACTCACCTGGATGACTAAACGTAGCTAGATGATTTGGGTTTTTCCTGTAACACCACGCCCTGGCAAGGTGGCCGTTTTTTATCGTAAGGGGTAACGTTTTTCCTACAAACACAATTATTTACGAAATAGATAATGAGCCCAATAATATATGAAATCATATTGAATTAAATATTGACTATTTTATAAACTTAAAAAATCATAAACTGAGTCCTATAATTTATCTATACATTTTTTATTCAAACATGTTTCGCATTGTCAAACCTGTTTCACCTGGTATTATTCTGTGTGTTCTGGTGCACAAATTATTATAACTGTTTATCTCGCTACTTTTGTGGTAGCCAAGACACCTGCATGGTTGTTACAGTCCAGAAAAACAGATTTTCTTAAAATGTTGTTGTGATAAAGAGCAAATGTAATGGTATTAAAAATGTAAACAGTACAATTTACATCTACAGTAAAATAATTTATGATTTAACTTCCCTGTGGATGTTTCGTTTGACGTGTACGAGGAGTGCATCCTTCCTGGAGAAGGACAGCCCCTAGAGGTGTTTTCAAACATATTTACAATCAGTTATCATAAAAAGTAAAATTAATTAACTTCTTTATCTTCATAAAAAAGTATTTACCACAGTAAAAAATAAGATACATATAAACATAATTCACAGTAGACATTTAATTAATGGTTACTCTAAGTAATATTAATGATATATATAAAATGATAGAACGATAAAATAGAAATAGTTCCATGAAAAGTATTGGACAAGCGTCATGTCTATGGTTGCTCTCGGATCACCATGGTAAAAGGTGCCCCGTTGTGTCTATTCAGAGCAAATCACTCCTTGTGAAAATCAATGTACAGATGCCACAGAACATACTGCGTGTTTCCGTCGGTGTCTTACGTGCCTTTTTAAATTGATTTTTAAGGTGAAGCATCTCTGTCCTTGTAAAGGCCAGTCGTGCACTAGCTGATGGAACAGACATAACGAGTCCCTCCGTGAACTGTCCTCTGGTGTCTTTTGAGATTAAGGGTGAATACGCCGGCGCACTGCCGACACTCGTGTCCATATTGTCTCTACTCCATTGTTAAAAATGTGCCCTAAATATATATAACACAATGAATTACTTGAAGCACTAGAAATAAAACTACTTAACATTGTAGTAATAATTAGTGTGGGGAAGGTCAGGTGGACTAATTGACGTTTCTGTGAGTTTCCTTTTCTTGGTAAAGGTTTTCATTGCACTTCCGATTACTGCAATTGTTACATTTAAATATATAAAACATTGATCAGATATACACCCATCTCTCCTGCACTTCTTATTTTACTTGAAAGTACACTTTTTACTTTTCCAGTTTAGCACAGTCCTGACATTCCACTTCACAAGTTTCAGTCACAACATGAGCGTTGAGATCTGTTGAGATCATCGGGCACCAAGCCTGAAAAGGTCGGGGGGACTAATTGTAGTAAAATCATGCCTCCCCCGAGGGGCATTTCACTCCAAAAATCCCGTACACTTCGTCAAAAAATCCGAAAAAAATCCGAACAAATCCGGAAAATCCAACAGATTTTCTCTTCAAAAATCCGCTAAAAATCCGCTAAATCCGCGGATTTTTAAAAATCCGAAAATCCCGTGCGCTTCGTCAAACAATCCGGACAAAATCCGAACAAATCCGGAAAATCCAAACAAATCGGGAAAATCCAACAGATTTTCTCTTCAAAAATCCGCTAAAAAATCCGGGAAAAATCCGCTAAAAAATCCGTGGATTTTTAAAAATCCGCAAATCCCGTACGCTTTTTTGGAGTGAAATGCCCCTCGGCCTCCCCAATGTTTCTGACATGAGGAATTGTCTGGTTGCCGTAGGCGTTGATAAGAGGGAAGGGAGACTACAGGGGAAATTATTTCGGAAATCAAGAATATAGACTTATTGCACCCACTTACCTGCGTAATATATTTGCATATAGAACTGGAGTTCATAATTCCACATTTCGGAAAATGTAGTTTTCAAGTTGTTTGTCCGACACAAGGGTTTTTTAAAGCTTTGGTGAAAGGATGGAATGACAGTTAAAACTTAAAATGTTTCGACTCTTGTTTATGTTTGACCTCCAACTCCTGTGTATTCTTCTGCATTTCCATTAACTTCAGACTGGTTCACATTTTACTGGAAGTTGATGTGGGACGGCTATGTACAGTTCCTGTGTCCCACGAAAAATGAGTTAGTTATGATAGAATGTGATTTCTATAATAATTGTTTAATTTACATCATTTACCTTATTTTGTATTGTGTTAAAATATTTGAAACGGCCAAAAATGAAAAGGCTAACCTAGTGTCATCGTTTCGGAATCCCGGTGTTGGTTGTCAAAACTGGATTAGTGGCTAACCCTTGGTTAAATTTTAATCTTGTCTTTTATTTTTGTATTTCTGAATGTCAGTTTATTTCAAAACTTCAGAGTAACTCTTGATAACAGACAGTATTTTTGAAGAAATATTTCCATATCTATAAAAACGCTGTTAGGGAGTTCATTGGAATTTTAGGTTAAACTATAGGGTTACGATCAGTGCTAACCTTGTGTCAAATTGACCAGCTGTTTTAATAGTTTGCATTTCTGCATGAAACCTTCAGAAAAGATAATTTCCATTTCATTAAAAATATTTCCAAGTTGATAAACAGGATGGCGGGAGGTTTTCTTTGAAGTTTAGGTCAACTTTGGCCTAGGGTTAAGCTAACGAGCATTTGAACAACCAACCCCAAAATAGTTTCAATAGCGTCCAGTTCATAGTTACTTTCTGTAATGAAAAAAATAGTATAAAGGATAATGAAAAGTGGATGTAAAAATAGTGAGAAAAATAACTGGAATAAGTAAAATATAAATGGTAGGAAAAAAATGCTAGAAACCTAATTAAAAAATTGTAGGGAAAAAACACAACTGAAAGAAGTAAAAAAATAGTAGAAAATTAGATTGAAAAAATAATGAAAAATAAATGTAAAAATAGTGAAAAATAAATGTAAAAATAGTGAAGAAAAAATAATAGAAAATTACATTGAAAAAATAATGAAAAATAAATGTAAAAATAGTGAAGAAAAAATAATGAAAAATAAATGTAAAAATAGTGAAAAATAAATGTAAAAATAGTGAAGAAAAAATAATGAAAAATAAATGTAAAAATAGTGAAAAATAAATGTAAAAATATGAAGAAAAATAAATGTAAAAATAGTGAAGAAAAAATAATAGAAAATTACATTGAAAAAATAATGAAAAGTAAATGTAAAAATAGTGAAGAAAAAATAATAGAAAATTACATCGAAAAATAATGAAAAATAGTCTTACATAATGAAAAAGTTGTGAAAAGAAAAACAACTGAAAGAAGTAAAACTGAATAGAAGAAAATTACATCGAAAAAATATAATAGTGAAAAAGTTGGAGAAACGTAGTAGAGATATTTGTAAAAGGAATAAAAATGAACCTTATTTTTCAAAATACGAGTGATTTTTTTATAAAATAATTGTGTTTCTTAATTTCAAAACATACAGCTATTTCAAACGAGCCGAAGTCGAATGCAACCGCGAAAGGCTGCTGGAAATTATTGAATTTTCATATCCATTCCCAGCAGCCTTTCGCGCTCGTATTCGACTTCTCCGCCTTGCTCGAGAACGCATATATGGATTGGATACATTGTTCGTTTCAAAACAACACTTCATGTGAGAACAACGAATCATCGGCAATGGACCATTTGCATTATAGACTAAACTTTAAGTTTCGTTGCGAAATGTTGTAAAATGCGGATAATATAGCCTTGCAAAATTTGCAATTTTCAGTCCTTTTGTATTACAAACGGGAAATTGATGCCCCAACACCCGATTGGGCTGTCAATTTCCCGTGCGTAATACAAAATGACTGAAACGGCAAACTTCGCATGGGCTATATTCGCATTTTACAACATTTCGCAACCGAAACTTTGGAATATTACTAATTTTGTGATGCTCTTTCAGCTGTGATGAAATTTTTTGTCTAGAACAAAATTTAGTCTATAATGCAAATGTCCATTTTGCCGAAAATATTTTAAACCATTCCTTCGCATCGGGTATGAATTATAGCTGTCATAGTGAAAACTATAGATATTTATGAAAACAATTTCTCTTGCTGTTGGATTACAGACTACTTCATGAACCTTGCCATTTCTCTGTATGTTTTTTAATTTCGTCACGACTTATACATCTTAATTTGCATTTGGCGGTGATTAGCTTTATAATTAGACCTTTCGCGGTGAATTTTTCCCGTCCGATATCGATCTCCATTGCATGTGCATCTTTCGAACATCAAGCCAAGAATGAACGGACATTGTGTTTAAAAACTTTTTGCTCTTGCAATTCATTCCTTTATGATAATGATTTCCAAGCGAGTTTAGACCCCTCCCCCCCGCAAACCATTGAAATAACATTGTTAAAATTTGAATGCCCTCGGGGGCAGTGGGGGGGGGGGCAACAATCTCATTCCCCGAGCCTGCGATCCTCGGGAAGGAACTCGAGGCTCTGGGATAATCCGTTTCGGGCAGGAATCTGATTGGCCGTTGAAATGGAATGCGTACCAGGTGATCTCGTGTTCGTATTTTAGCCAATCAGCGCTCAGAAAGGGTTGTCCGAATAGAAATCCATTTTGATGTATTCAGTCACTTATATCTTGCGTTATTCTTCATGAAACTAGTTGAAATTTTGTAATTATGTTTGGTTATGAGAACTATAGCTCTGACAAAAATATGGAATCGAATTAAAGTATATTACAGGAGATATTCAGTTGTTTTAATCACAAAATGGATTTCTATTTGACAACTAGTGCCAGTACTTTTCCGCGTATCAAGATCATCTGGTAGTTCAATCTTAGCCAGGATTCCGGCAACGGATTATCCCAGAGCCTCCCGTTCCTTCCCGAGGATCGCAGGCTCGGGGAGCGAGATTGTGGGGGCAACTGCCCCCAACTTCGTACCCAGGCTTTTCCACTACGCGCCTCGCTGGAGGTTGCAACTGCCCCCGTTGCCCAAACAGTACGGGGGGCAACAGGTTAGCTTTTTTTGCTCTCGGGCCTAGCCTGAAAACAGCGAACCTTTTCCTCGACCCGCGAATTTTAGGGCGTGGCGAAACGTAAGTGTGTTATCAGGCTAACTCGGGTCCAGTTCACTTCGCGATCAAATCATATGGATCAAATCCAAGATGGTGACCAATTTGAAATCTGAGGACTTTTATATATACAGCTGTTATTCGAGTGTTTGAAGCTGTTTTGAAAATAAACAAGCTCTCTGTGTGATGTTGACAAGGCTGTTAAATGGGGTATGTTATGTATTAATACTTTAATGGAGACAAAATACAGTAAATTCTTGACATTGTTTCTATTAAAATTATAAGTTTTCATATTCGTTTATACAGTAATTTGTGATTTGTCCATATTTAGTAATAACGATATTTTCTGTGTTGGTGCAATGTACTCAGATGCTTGTGATGTTACTCTGAGTATATATCCACACCGGGCAAGCTTCCCACCGTGGTCAGGCATATTTTTCAAGCTTGCCCGGTGTGGACATATACTCCGAGTAACATCACAAGCATCTTGTCCATATTTGTTGCCACGCATAATGTTGCGATACAAAACGTTGCTTCAATACTTCGACCTTTGTTTTGCATGACTTCTATTAGTTGAAAAGATTAAATATTTAAACTTCGGTCTGTTTGGATGTAAATAGTCGAATTGCCACGAGATAACGTCCAGGAGTTGATGTAAAAACCCACCCATAAAATCGATTCCATGTTATGCGTGGCAACTTGAATATGGACATGGTTCCTCAGGCCTTGCGGCAGGGTGTTAGCCAGGTGGCCGTCCGACTGAATTTGGATGCAACCAAAATTCGATGTATAAAACTTTCACTTGTTCAACTATGTTGCTGTTCAGCTGTTTTGTACAAAAATATTATAAAACTTTCAGTGTCATGTTGTCATGGAAACACATGTCACCACAACACAAGCCTGTGTTTAGTCACAGATGATAGATAATACCAGATGAATCACTCGGCCAAAATTGTGTCCGCGATTTTTTATGAACACGCGTTGGCCGCCATTTTGGCAGTAAGTGTAATTCACACATTTTGGCAGTAAGTGTAATTCACACATTTTGGCAGTAAGTGTAATTCACACATTTTGGCAGTAAGTGTCGCACGTGCGAAAATCATAGGGATAGATCACAGTGAGACATGTGGTATGATCTATAATCTATGGTTTAATAGCTGTGTTGGTCAATTAGAAGTACTTCATGTTAATCAATGTTTGTAAAACCAGGGGTCGAAATTCCCGCTATTCTGAATATACTAAAATGCCTGATGGAATAGTAAACTTGATGATCACAGTATTCGTTTGTATAGTAGAAAAAATTGTGGTACCAAATATCGACAAGCAAGGGTTTTCCTCTTGTATAATATATCACTTTATACCGGACTTTGAGCCACTGTTCCACTTCGTAGCTAAGTTCTTGTTCGCTTGCAGTACTTGCATTTTCTAATTTCTTCAAACACTCATTAATAATTCTTATGAAATCATGTCAACCATAATATGTCACATGCAGTGGGTTTAAACATGATAAAACACTCCTAATTAGTATTCTTTATATAAAGAATACTAATAAGGCAGTATCTATTGTAGTTGTGTCCTCATTAGTATTCTTTATATAAAGAATACTAATAAGGCAGTATATCTATTGAATTTGTAGTCGTGTTTGAAGCCGTTTAATAAACTTGCAGGTCGTTTAAACCTAATAAAACACTCCTGCTCATTTATTAAACAGTACTTTGCACCAATATTATTGTTGATTTCAAGTCACTTTATTTATGTACCAATATTATTGTTGATTTCAAGTCATGTTCAACACTCGAAATAAATCTGGTATTTCCGCGCACCCATGTATTATTCTCTATTTATTCAATAATTCAATTATTCAGTTCACTTTAGGAGTCTCAAGGATGATTTCATGAAAATCAGAACATTAGTGCGGACCCTGCAACAGGCTCTCAGAAACAGTACATTAAGAAATAGTGGATCTTCAGACGGAATAGTAAATATAAAAATCTACTATTCTGGCTGTATAGTACAAAAAAAATTAAATTTCAACCCCTGAAAACATACAGGCTAGGGGTTGCTATATGCACATATATCTAGTAGGTAACATGCATCAAGAGTTTTTTTATTATTTTTTTTATTATTATTATTAATTTATTTCTCCAAAATGGCTTTTCAGAAATAATTACAGTCATAAAGTGAAGATTAAATACGTATTTACATGAATTTATTAGAAGACCTATATATACTAATATATCAAAATATACATTTGTTTATGGGTATAATAAATCAACAAATGATTTAATAATGAGCCAACAGATCACGACACTCTTGTATATAAAAAGAGCGTGTGAATTAAACAAGTCACATATTATTAGCACTGATGAAGATCCGGGCTTACGGATCGAAAGCTTTGCAGTAATAAATTTACGTGGTGTTTCCACAAACAAAAACAATTATATAATAAATCAATTATAGATAATATTCTAAAATATAAAATTATGAGTTGTTTCAGCACTCTTTAATTATGCAGTATCTCTCTTTCTAGTTTTTTAAAACTCCAATACTTAAACTATCTTTAATGTTATTGTCTAAATCATTCCATATAATTTGGTTGCTCTATATAAAAAAGAGCGCTGACCAGCAGCTGTCCGATAAAATGGGATATCTTAGAGCTGCTCCCATCGGTTAATTTTCGTAATCGATTAATCGTTGTCAACAATCGATTAATATCGATTAATCGTATTGATAATTAATTTAAATATGAAAAGCCCATGGTGGTTTGACAGGTTTCTAAATTGTAATTAAACTAAATTTTTGGGGGTTTCACCAGTCAGTATAAACGTTTTAAATCTTGGTTTAAAGAGAACATTAATCCCAATTGTTGATTGTGCTCTTACACTAAACACAAGAGAAATGCATGAAAAGACAGGAACGATATTAAGGATGTTTACTTTAGTTGTTTACCTTTGACACTCCTAAGTAAATTTGCGAGATTCAGACTCGTATGGATAATTGGTTTATTTCCGCACGCTGCAATGTTGGATGCAAATGGTAATAAATTCTTCTAATAAAAAAACTTGAAAGATATTTTCACAACACTGCATGCTGTGAGTGAAATTGATATTTGACCCACAATGTTTTGAATCAATTTGTCATTTAATGTTTGAAGGCCACTGATTCTTGACGAAATTTTTTTAATCCGGGAAGAAATTAACTCATTCCCGCATCACGCTGTATGGTGTTATATATGATCCGATTATTGTTAAGCATAATCGATTGTGGAAAAATAATCGATTAATCGATTGATCGATTAATCGGGAGCAGCTCTAGGATATCTAGTTCATCCATTTGTCTTGTTGCGTTGAGTCTGATCTTGAGGTAAATACAGATGTCATTAAGCGCACTATCAGAGGGATCCATGCTGCCCCAGAAAATTTTGAAAATCAGAGTGCCATATCCCAGATTGGTTAAAAATGTAACATTTCTTACATTATTTTATTGACCCATTGCACATGACGTCACAGCGCCGGTGACGATGCATCTGGAGGACAAATTAGCAA